GAGTGGAGAAGACGGGTCTGGTTGTCCCATATTCCTTGCATGACAAGGTTCTTGTAATGAGCTCCCCATACTCATGTACTTGCATCCATCTTCCAGGGGAAAGCCCTTGTCCAAACTGGATCCTTTTATCCACCACCTTAGTTGAAGCTTTAGATCTTGGGGAATTATGATCAACTGACCCCAGTTCATTGCTGACTTGTTGATCTGTCTGAGGAAGTTCATTTGGGCCTGTGTCGTCTTCTGATGTGCCTATCTGACCAGACCTATGGTCAACGTGATGGATCCAAGTATACTTATAATATTTGCTTGAATTCTTGTTCTTGGAAGTAGTTCTGATATCTTGTTCATGATCCGAGCAATAGGATCTTGGGATAGAGAAAATGTTGAAGCTTCTGTGTTTATACTTGCTCCAAGGAACACTATGTGTCTGCAAGAATTTGGGTGGCTTACAGAGACAAGAGCAACTTCATTCCATCCAGAGTGGAGATCACCTTTTCTGTCTGATGGACTGCTGTGTGGTATTCCTGTTCTACTACCATGATATCATCCAAGTAGTGGAATACTTGCATCCCTCTCTTCCTCAGGATTTCAATAACTGTGATGAAAACCTTTGAGAATGTTCTTGGTGCCAAACTCAGACTAAATGGCATGCCCTGCAACTGATAGTGTTTTCTAGAATCTCCGGAACTTCTGATGGGATTGATGTATTGTGATCTGTGGTATGCATCTTTCAGGTCTATCAATGTTAGCCAGTCGCCCTGATGGATGGCCTGTTTTATGGATGCTATAGACTTGAAAGACATTTTTGAGATATAAATGTATTCTTTTTAGGACTAGAACAAGTCTCCATTTCTATTTGGTTTGGGAGCCAAAAATATATTTATATGGAATCCCCTGCATTCCTCTTTTTGAGGGACTTGTTTGATAACCCCTTGTGTGATCAACTGCTGAAGGCAGTTCTCCATTGCCTTCCGTTTTATGCCTGCTGACACCTTTGATGGATGAAACATGAAATTTCTTTTGAATTCTTTGAATTCTAGTTTGTAGCCATCTTTGATTATACTCGGGACCCATTTGTCTTTGATGGATGCTGCCCATACTGGAAAGAACTGTTTCAGATGGCCCCCCCACTGTTCCAGTCTGGGTGTCCCGACCTTCATAAAGACTTTGTATTCTAGTGTCTTTGTCCACCTTCCTGGAGTCTAGAGATTTCCATTATTCATAGTACACCTCATCTTCTGAATACAGATCATTTAGCTCCAGGCTAGATACCTAAGAGACAGAAGCTTCTCTATACCTTTTGGTTGCCCCTTTTGATGCTGACAGAAAACCTTCAGAGATGGAATCCGAAATCCATTTGGGGTGAGCTTCTTTTAGTTTGTCTCTCAGCTACTTCTTCCATACATTGGGAGCACAGGTTCTTCCCTTCTGGGGCTTTTGAACCACAGCCCATGCAGCGATTAGTTTTCTGCGTCCTCTTTCTTTTTGTGTCTTGAGAGGTTCTAGGGCTTAACAGACAAGGCCACATGTTAATATGTCCAGGCCATCAATATTTTTGCACCCCCATGAACTGGACTAACCTTTTTCTTCTAGATACACTTCTAAGGGAGGTGGGAGAATAATCCATCTAATTTAAACAAGGTTACAAAATTAGAATAATTTCAAATAAATACCAGTATTTAAATATTTCTAAGACAACATTAGCAAATTTAAAGCTGATAGGATTGGTGGTTCAGTCCCATGGTGGAGTCTCTTTTGCTAAAAAGAGACTCAAACCAGTTAGTGCTGCCTGTGCAGTCTGTTTACTGGTTTCTTAAGGGGGAGAGAGGCTGAACTCCCCCAGGAAGAACCATGTTAAACATGGTAGTGAGCCCAGAAAGAACATTTTTGTTTAAAGGCATTCCAAATCCATGTCTGTCAACTGGGACAGGAAATTAGATTTATGGATGTCTCCAGGACCTGGTTCATGCAGTTCTTACAGATAACATTTTGTGAATAGATGTGAACCAACTTACAAAATGTATCATGTCTGTATGTATCTAGCATATCTCAATATTTTCACTTACAATTAATATAAAATAAAAATATAGCAATTTTCCCTTAAAAATAACACTGTTATAACACATGAAGCAGTGCCCCTGCTTAATGTAGAACTCACAGACTTCCAATGTAAAAGAGCCTTCAGGTTGTCTTCCCTTACTAGGGAGATCAGGAACCTCCGTTGGTTGGTAAAACTCAATGGATTTTTTTTCGCAAATAAAAAAAAATGTATATATAAAAATAGGTCACTGATCCAATGCATTTCTTCTCCGCAGAGACTTCAAGGACCAAAACTTATACAATTACAAACATTCTCAGTAACAATATGTTGTCCTACCCACTCTCTCTTCCCTTTCTCTTAAATAGGGTGATTCCTGATGTGTTTGGGGGGAGTTCCTGATTCTCCTTCCAATCGTTTCTCTCCCCTGTTGATCTTGCCAGCTTTTTGAAATAATTCAATAGATGAGATACAGTTCCGTGTTCTTGCTTCCTGTAGCTTGCGTTTCATCGCCCACTTCCTTGCATCCCCAAATTTGAATAGAACTTTATTGATCACAAAGTTCCATATTATATATGAAACCTAGCGGGTCCGTTTGCAAATCTCTAATCTAATGGAAACACAGTAATCGTTATGGATCAATTTAATTACATTTTGCCTAGGCTTAAAACCTCTGTATTGTCTAAACATTTGCAATAAATGTAGATTTTAATCCTTTTCTTTATATTTGCTATTTACATGCATGCATTTTAATGTGGATTCTCCCACCAGACTAGCTTAAAATGCCTATTGGTTGGATGCTGTCACTCCACCAAACGAGAGCACTGCTGTAGCACTCTCTGGTTGGTTGAAGCACTGTATGTAGTATATACCATCCTGGCTACTAGGCCAACATGAAAGATCAATATTTCATTACCTCCATAAGTGAACTTTAACTTTTTTT